CGTGCATGTTCTTCTTGCTGAATATCGTTTCGACCTCACTGTCGTACTTTTTGCCGATTATCCTAAAGGGTGGCATGGGTTTCAGTGACAACGAATCAATTCTGCTTGCGGCGCCGCCTTACTATTATGCAGTTATCCCCGTCATTCTCACGTCAGTCATTGCCGACAGGCTCTGGCTTCGAGGGCCGGTGATTGTCTTCAACTGCATCTGCCTAATAGTTGGCTTCTGCATGCTAGGCTTCGTGAGCCAGGTCGCTGTGCGCTATATTGGGACATTTCTTGCAACTGGGGCATACGTTAGCAACTGGGCCGCTCTGAGTTCCTACGTAGCAAACAATATCACTGGACAGTGGAAGCGGGCTGTCACAGCTGCTGTTGTAACCATAATGAATGGCGCAGGTGGGATTGCGGGGAGTTATATAGTGAAAGCCAACGAAGCGCCACATTACTGGACAGCAGTCTGGGTTTCAATCGGCTCGCACATACTCTTGATATTACTTGTTCTGGCCATGTCGGTTCATTTCACTTTGGCGAACAAGCTGGCGAATAGCGGGAAACTGATTCTTGAGGATGTGGAAGGGTTTAGGTATACTCTCTGAGGGAATTGCTTTTGTCATCGTATCCTGCAATGGATAATGCAGCTATAATATTTGGGGTTACACAATAGTTAATACTAGATAAAGGAGTCATTCGACTGATATTGTAAGGCTGAAAAATGGCTTCTACGGGGACATGTCTCTAAAGATGTGTCTCGAGATTGCCTATGCCGTACATCCCTAGCTCAATTCTAATGTATCTTCTATCCTGTTCGATCAATCTATAAAACACTGAGGTCAGCCTGTTACATAGTACGCAGTAGTTCTTACATGAGTTCAGGGCTCATCAGTGAGTCAGCAATTGAGTCACCACGGCCCGAATAATACGAATTCAGCTCGTTGAATGGTTCGGCTAAGACAAACGTGCGGGGCTCAGCTAATCACTCACGTTCGACTGTCAGCTTTTCCCAAATACTAATTTTGCTTGATATATAGTCGCACTGCCTGAAGAGCAATTATAATTAGTGAGCGCTTTTAAGTCAATATCAAGCATAGAAACGCGGTGAAGGCAGCGCTCCAGACAAAAAACATTGACCAAAGTGCCAAAAAAAACACATATCCATTCAGAAAGCATGACGACCCCTCAACCAGTCCGGTTTGAAACCTTGGATTCACAAGATCCTCAAGCAATTCACCGTATTCGTCTTCTTAACCACTGGCGTATCCCTTCCGGCAGCCGTGTTCTTGAGATTGGCTGCGGACAGGGCAACTGCACCGAAGTTCTCGCCGAAGCAGTTGGCCAAAACGGCCATGTGGATGCGGTAGATCCGGGCGACCCAGAGTACGGCGCCCCAGTCACCTTACGGGAGGCGCAGAACGGGATCTCAAGGGGTAAACTAGGTAGTCGGATAACCTGGCACCAAGCCCAGCCGGTGGAATTTCTGCGAGACCACGGCGACGAGAAGTGGGACTATGCTGTGTTTGCACATTCAATCTGGTATTTCGACTTGCCAGACACTTTGGCGACCATGCTGAAGTCGCTAAAGGGCAGGGTCAGAGAAGTGCTCGTTGCAGAGTACTCGCTGACAGCGACGGAGAAAGCGGCAGAGCCACATGTGCTCGCCGCGGTAGCGAGGGCAACGCTCGAGGCGTACAACAAGAGCAGTGATGCAAATATCCGTTGCCTCATGAGCCCTCGGGCTATCAAGAAAATCTGCGTCGAGCAGGATTGGAACATCATTAGCGAGGATGTCGTGGTTCCTGAGACTGGATTACTTGATGGACATTGGGAGACGGGCATGGTCAAAAGCGACGAATTTTTGAAGGACCTTGACAATTACGTTGATGATCCTAAGATTGCAATGGTGCTGTTGTCTTCAAGAGATGCTATAATTGATGCTATTGAGAGACTTCAGGGCGAGGCTGTGCGAACGATGGATGTGTGGGTTGCAAGGTTTCAATACACGTAGGATCCAATTTGATATTTTACTACTACAATTAATGACGTGATGGGGTTGAGTCGGTATTATTGATAGCACTGGTGTAGGTATTACCCTATGAAGTGGTTTCGTGTGCTCTTATCACGGCCTCCCAGGTCCTCTTCTCCGTTTGAAAGACCACCCTCCAGAGTCTGCCGTTCACGAGCTGCACCGAACGACTTCACATAAGGCTACTTGACAAATGGCCGTGGATAGAGGAAAATTAGGGTGCTGATCATTTTAGCTTCTAACCAACGTTAAAACGCGCTCACACTGGCTTCACAATCTCTCTTAGAACAACAATGATGTCATCCTTGACTGAGGTAGGTAGATTATACCCCAGGCTATGCATCATGACAAACCTGTTCCTAATACCTCCGACGAGTCATGTAGACAATTCCACTCGTATAGTGTCACGCGAGTGGTAGATTCCCTAGTGGGATCGCCATTAGTCCCACTTCTCCTGGCTGCCAAGGAAAATGCGGTGACCAGACCATATCTGAGACGCTTCCTCTCTCCAATGCTCACTCATAGTCGGTAACTAACCAGGCTAAGATGACAAAATAACTCGTTTAGGCCAGAGTAAGCAAAAATATTTATCGACCAGGATACAGAAGTACCCCCCGTTCCTGTCATTCAAGATTTTTTGACACCCTGGATTGGCTTATAGTCACTGGTATAGCGCTCAACAACACACACTCCCATTACGATTAGCGATAGGCAATTGGCTATTCCACTCTCTCCTATGTGGGCAAGGGAGACTACAAGGCTGAGGTGGTGAACCGAAGATTATCTGTTGACGGGAGCGGGAGAGAGTCGGAAAGTGCTGAAAGGAAAATTGAGAAGGTCAAATCACTGAGTGACGGCAAGGTATTTCAAAATAGATTCCTTTTCTTCCCCCACTATGTTGAAGTTAACAGCACGTCGGTTGCAAAGCCGTCATACCTCTCTCTGGCCATAGTGGTTGGCAACAGCTAAGAAACCTTCCCGCACTGCCTCAGAAAGCAAATTTTTTTTCAGGGACGGAAGTCTCCTTGAACGAAAGTCGAAACGTGAGGCTTGCAACACTGAAAGAGTGAGGCAAAGATCCCTTATTGCTAATGCCTATTTTGCCCTAGCGACGGCCGATCCCTTGCGTGCCGTTAGAATGCCAACTACTACTATAGGCTACAGATTAAGCAGGAAAACGAAAGTACAAATGGTCTCCATCTCCAATTAGGCACATTAGCTGAACGCTAGCTGAGGATTAGCAAGTCAATCCTTTCCTCGATCCTTTCACATGTCAACCTACAGCTAATTACTGCGTACAGTAACTTACTTACAATAACACAAGATCTTATTTTACATAACTGTAGTTTAGCGTTAGATTTCCCTGTTTCACATATACCAATTTGATAGAAGACTACATTCATACTAAAAAGCACTTTACTTATGCGTGGTCTATGTATAATTTTACTTTCTCCTGTTTGGCTCAGACAATTTGAGATGCTAGAAGTCCCTTCCCATTCCCTTGGGCTAAGTAGTCGGGCGGCGAAGGTTCTCATGAGTAAGGTGCTTCAGTGGCACAAAAGATACCTCCAAGCCCATGCATGGACTTATGCCCAACGCTGTAGACCCTCGTAATGCGCAACGTCAGATCCTACGACATTTGAACTTTAGTGACGGTGACGTCTGACTGTCTGTGACGTGGATCCATATTCGATAGTAAACGGCATGATTTAGAATAAAAGCGAGCTAGCTTACTCTACCATAAATCGAACTTCCATACAGTTGTTAACTAGAGGGTCCTATTTTTACAGCCCACTAGTATCTCCTTTATACCATCGGTATAACCTGTAAAAGGTATATATACCGTCAGACATTCCCGTGTTTTCGTTTTCATTCCTCAACCAGCCCCCTCCACAGTTCATCATCTACAGACTGTCAAACATCAAGTATCTTATCTACACTGCACCACGTTACTTCACCAAACCACATCTTATACTCAAGCCACAATGCGTGTCTTTATTGCTCTCGGATTTTTGGCTGCCCTCGTCACTGCGCTGCCTGCTAGTGGCTCTGACTCTCCCGTTTCCGCCGTTGAGGCTCGCAACCTGCTCGAACGCCAGGGCTGTGGGCCCGATTACAATTTTTGCGTTTGCAGCTCAGGGGAGCAAAAATGCTGCGTATGTTCTAAAAAAATCTCGTGGGATACTCCCATGACTTCAGACGGCTAACATAGAATCAGGATGACCGAGTCTGCTCATGTTGCTAGGCGCAGGCGGAGCGCGCCCCACATGCCCACAGTGACTGAAAGAGGGCATAAGGATTGGCATGATCTGTCTGATTCAGTCAGGTCAGGTCAAGTTCACAATTGTAATCACAACAACTTTTTTGGATCAAAGGTGTGTCACAGGTGAAGTTTCATCCCGACCAGTATGACCCTGGCGAGGATGTGTTGATCCTGGGTGGAAATCAATGAGGGTTGGTGGAGTCATGTTTATTTCATCAGTGGGCTGTTGGTCTCTATATTTCAACACAATCTTAGATAGCTACCCTCTTTTGACTCATAGTAAACAATCGAATGGTTTTGTAGTGGGGATAACTGCCGCAACCTCCATTTGAAGATATCAAACTGTTGTTGTCCTGACTGAAAACGAACTAGTAACATGGGAGGGATAATGGGGGTTGATATTTTCGGACTCAACTCAATGACTAGATTTCCCACTCAACTAATGATCCAGACTAGACTGTCTGATTACATACTTTCATATTGTTTGTACTGCTTCCATTATTTCTTTTAGTCCCAGTTGGTCACCTTGCAGCTAAACTATCTACTATGTAGGTAGATTACCTAGGGTAGGTAGGTTGGTGGGTATTCACGCGTGAGACCCAAAAAAATGGCGTGGAGACACAGCTCCACTACCTGGTGTCGCATTGGACGACAGCTTTATGCGTAGTGACTATATGAGCTCGCTTACTATCTCTCTTTCCAACGAACTAGCAAGGCGGGTTGGTGGAGTGGTCTAACACGTGCGACTCAAGAGAAAATCTTGGTCCTTCAAGAGGATTTCGCATCTCGAGAGAGGCGTGGGTTCGAATCCCACACCCGTCAAGTTCAATTTTTTTGCACCTTTTTCCTTTTTTCTTTTTCCCTTTTTTTTTCTTCCTATTTTTTGGGCTGTCCTCTCATATTTTCTATACCGTACGTACGCAGGTGAACGTAGAAGGGTAGGGAGAGACAGCATGCTCCTGATGCAATTTATTAATTCAGTAAATGCAATTATATAAAACAAACATCTGCCGATCTTATGGGAACTGTGTCTGGTCAATCGCAAACTTCGCTTTCTAAGTAAGCTGTGTTAGCTCTACAGCTGAATTTCATTCCTTCTTCTCTGGATGATCCGAGGCACCGCTCAAGATCTCATTAATCATCTCAGCCCACTTCCACGGTGTGCCCACTTCGGGATTACTCTCAGTCACGGCGTTGAAATATTCCCAACCCATAACGCCTCCAAGCCGGGGATACCTGCCAAGTAGTTCCCTGAGACAGGCCCTCAGGTCACCGTCCTTGACCCAGCCCCCGCAATTCGCTGGGTTCGTCACCAGGCCTACCACCACTTTTTCCTGGGGCCAGCCCCGCCTCACAATCGAGTCGTATCCATGTGGTTTGCTCATGTCACCCCAGCCGCAGTAGAACTGAGTGTTGTACCATGCAATCCGGGACCCTAGACCCTTTTCCAGCTCTTCGATGTTGAAGCCGCCCAGGTTCTGCTGGTTTAGCATAGCCGGCGCAACCGGGGCGAGCGTAATGAGAAAAGACTGGCCAAAGTCCGTTTTAAGATGGTCGATAAGACGCACCACTCCTCCGAGTGACATTGCCTCTTCGATATCCAAATCTAGTCCATCTAGCCCTGCCCACGCAATCATCTTCCTGAGTGGTTGGTAAAATCGGTGAAAACCCTCAAGCGTGCCGTCAAGCCTGGTGTATGAACCCTGCGCGGCCCCGCCCAACATGCCCAGCACCTTCACTCCCGCCGCCTGGGCCTGCCGAACTTCTTGCCATAGGACATCAAACTTGGGAGAATCGTATAGGTCATCGTTCAACGTGATGTTGTCCGGCGAGTTGAGATGGATGGCAGCCACGATGATGTGAGTGACGCCTGTGGACGGTTTGAGAGTGGGTAGAATGGAGACGTATTGGTCATTAGAGTAATGCGTCTGGTGGTAGTAAATTATGCGAGGGCGATGACGCTTTTCTGACACGGTGCTGGGGAGTGGGATTTGCATCGCGTTTGATTCTACCTGTAGACATGAGATGTTTGGTAGTGATGAAGTGGTAACGAGGGGTTGAGACTCATCGGAGGCGCAGGTTGGCGGTCACGTTTTTGTCGTCGGAGAACCCCCCCCGGGCATGATGAGCGCATTTCAAAAGTTGCAACTCTGCCAGTCGAATCAACAACGAACGGGAAATACGGCGTTATAGTCAAGCTAGAAGACTTCATTTGATGGTAGTCTAATTTAATTAAACTGCAATTGAGAATTTCGGGGATAAACTCACGACTCGCCGCCCGACTTGTCTGATACAGATATTTTGTTCATACGAGGTATAAACGATTCTGAACACATAGGATACCCAATGAAAACCTGATCATAAATTTCAAGAGCACTGTTTCCCCTCTCATGGTTTAGTTGCCTCACTCCGAGACTCGCAGCTTGCTGGACTCTCTGGCAAGCGTATTGCCCCAGATCACACTCGGGATGGCCCTCATTCCAGCCGAGTGACGGGACATTCACCAAGCTTTGTTGCACGAAATGTTGGTGTAACACATTGACGATAAGTTAGCCGAACCTCAGGAGAGACGAATATAGGGGCAGGGAACAGTAAAATGTTTTGGATAAAGCACATGCAGGGCATTGCGCAACGTACTAGTGAAACCGGTTTGACTTCCAAGTATGTATACGTGCGGTTTGAAGCGAAGCGAGTATATGGTACGGCCGGTTCTCCACTAAAGAGAAATCTTCAAGGATTACCCATACCCTGTTTTCAGAAACTAGAAAGATGATAGGTTGAAGCCGGTAACTTGGACCCCTTGCGCAGCCTTGCTGCTTCTCATTACTGAATATAGAGCTCAAAAGAGTAGTAAGTTTATAATTCGATAGGGGTATTATATTGAGCAGAGAGGGAGCCCTACAAATAGGACAGACACGCTAACAGACTAGTATGGAGGGGAGACTACAACTTTTCTAAATACATAATAAATCTCAAGCAGTAAACCAATGGTAAAGGCTACTGAGAAGCACAGTTCGAGACTCTGCTGGAGGCGAAGGTGCGTAGTCTGGAGGTGTAGCACCGCCTCTTTCTGCCCACTCTGCGAGATAGCTAACCAGTGTCCATATTCTCATCCTGTTCCAGAGTCCCCAGGACGCAGGTGCCACATCTTGAATTTCTTTTTTATAATCATAGTCTCCCCGTACTAAATATTGTGCCATGGTCTTCCAATTCGGTAGAGTGGCAATCTCTTCTCCCGTCGCCGCCTCTGGGCGCTCTGTTTCTGACAAGTCCCAGAGGAAAGGAACCAAGTTGTATGTATGTAACTGGCGTCGCCAAAATCCTTGGTCGAGTGGTATGCGCCCTTTCAGCCCTCTGGAGCAACTCCGTAAACGCAGAATGGCCTGTATTGGAAGCAGGTCAGTGATGAGTTGGAAAATCTCTATAGGGATCTCTTCTAAAATTGAAGGTGGGCTGAGTGGAGGATTGTATCTCGGCCTGTTGAGGATACAGAGTTCATGCACCTTCGTTCGCTTCGGTTCAGATAAAAGCATAGGTGCTGATTGCCAGACAAGTGCCCCAACTTCCGCAGATAATTGTATAGGGTCAATGCAATACCACTGAAAACAAAAAGTTAGTAGTCAATAATCGAGGTAAATATCTGTATATTTCAAGGGAAGATGCTGCAACAAACCTCTTTCTCCATATCATCCTGCCAGCTGGAATCCAAACTCCAACGCTTCGAAGCACCATGATATCGATGTCCAAAATGAAGACCACGCCAGAGGAGTAGTCTCCTATGGCTTGTAATAGCAATAAAGCTAGAGTACCAGCTCAGTTTAATATCGTCGGCATACTGAGCGCAGAGTATCCGATAGATCGATGCTAGACTTAGTGATGAATCCGGGTTGAGTTTGGTATACCAGTTGATATAATATTGCATAATTTCAAAGCAGGCCCCATGTAGAGGGAATATCGTATTCCTGCCATCCTGCGCAAGTGACATTACTTCAAATTCAACACCATTCAGCGAGAAGGATGTACTATCTGAATATTCGGCGTGCCCTGAAACAAACAATCCGTCGGTATTTGAGTGGTTTTTAGGCCTATTTATAGGGAGATGATAAATAAATTAGCACAAAATGAACGTATATATAGGCGCTATCATCTTTCATACATTACGAAGGGGCTAGATGTAAATTCTTTGAGGGTTGAAGTAGTTCCAATTAGCCGATTATGCCTCAGCCACTATATAGACAATGTTAGTGAAAATGAGTTTCTAGAGGTTTGTCTGCAATAAAGGCCCTGAAAGGTAACAAAGGGTATGAAAGATAAGCCGTTTAGACGTTTTAGTATAGCAATACTTGGAGTGCACTTACAAATTCGACTTGAGCCTTGGTTGGTACTTCAAATCCCCACCCATTTTCGTCATCAGATGGAGGACGAGGAAGCCTGAAATGACACCCACAAATCACACAGTTGACGAGTCCTTTTTGCATTAGATGGTATCTACTATGCAGGATGAAGAATATAGAATGAAGCATGAAGTTTACAAATTACACTGAGAGAGGCTGGTTGCGATATATTCGATCGGAAGCGGAGGGAGCCTACAACGATTATGCGAGGCATCTATAGATGGCTGGATACGTATAAGTGTTGTGGGTCGCCGTTCCTATATAATTTCGTTCCGTCGGGACTTTGTGTCGTGTAGCCTATTTTCTTTTGATCACGGGGCTAATCCCCTAAATTCTGCCTTGCGTTCTCTTGCAAATAAGGGCTAGCAAGTATGTTGTCTAAGCCTTAGGGAATGAACTACAAATTGTGTATAATGAAGATATAAATATTGATATATATAGAAATGAATAATTATGGAGTGTATGATATATATGTATGTATGTGTATTTCTCGCTTGAAGCCTTCTGAGTTCTAATTTAGGAGTAGGCTTTTCCCCTACAGAATCAAACACAAAGCGTCAATAGATTACTATTCTCCTCCTTGGCAGGCACTGAAAGATGCTTCTTCCATTTTGAGTTAACCCTCTTTTGCTAGATCAGCGAATGTTCAAGACATAGTGGGAGTGAGTCATTGAGGCTGATCTGAGCATTGGCTGGTCGGTGAGCGCCAAGTGCATACTATACCCATTTCAGTACAGGTGCTATTCTTTCGGACGGGATTTACTAGAAAAACGACCTCGATTTCTCATATTCTTGGCTTTCTGACAATTTCAGACCCTAGTCTGATGGAGGTAGGATGCACAGGTGCTTCGGGAACTTGTACCGTGAAGAGTTATCAACTCAGCCTTATCATAGGGCATTAAGACCTATAGGCGCGCATAAAAAAAATGCACTGCCAATTCAACAATTAGGAGGTAATGCATAATTGAATCATATGTCCCTCTCGTGGAACATAAACTGGAATAAAAGAGTGGAAAGAATCCAAATTGGGCAACAAACGAGCATAAACATTTCCATTCAAAAGAGGACACCAGTGCACTCCAGTCTAAGCAGTTTCTCCTCATACATCAATAAGGCATTATACAACAATTGATTGCTGGAAGTTTGTATTCTCACATTGGTAAACTACCTAGACAACTGTTAACTTTTTGGAGATAATGGAGTGCTTCTACCATCAATTGACTTGTGCTCCATCACACATTCAAAACTGCCCATCTCAGCAGAGAGGATGATCAAGATGGGGGCCATATTTGCGACCATCAGTATGGGTTAATCTACCAAAATACACGACTGCCTGTTCACTTACCCTCCTCCTGCTCTGCTCGGGTTGCCTCTTCCCCAGTCTGATGCAGTGTGTTGTGGAGGTCGAAACTGGCACGAGGCAATTCT